TCGTAACCGGAGCCCCAAGGCCAGGCGGGGGGTGCCGTCACGGACCAGCGAGGTGCTCCAGAAGTGCAAGGCTGGCCGTCCCATCGTGGTGGCCCCTTCAATGTCCAGAACACCTGGGTTCCTGTTCCCACTCTTTGGGCTAGGAGGCGAGCCCCGTGCGATGCGGAGGGGGCCCCTCAAGCCAGGAAAGGCAGGATGATGGGGGTATTGTGACTCATACTGCAAGTGCACCAAACCCTGGGGGGGCACATACTGCTCTGCGACATTGGATCACAGCAACACGTATCAAGATACCCTCCCTGGCTGCAATCCGGACAGAGCACCATGGAGCAACAATGATTGTGCCACGGCCACAGATACGTTCTGTAGCACGCAGCCCCCCGCTCCCTCCCATCAGCTGCTCCCAGCAGGGAAGGGACTTGGTGCAAAGGTCTGCAAAGACCCCCTGGGTGCCAGACCCCGAGGTGGGAACCGGCGGAGCCTTTCCCTGCAGGGCCACGAGACCAGTGGAGCACCAGCCACCTGATCTGTGTGACTTTCTGGGGTAAGGACGGCCACCTGTCTTCAGAATCTGCTGATGCCTATAAATAGAGGCCGGGCCCCGGGCTGTGCTGGAGCCACCGGCTCTGCAGAAACCCCAGTAGGAAGGTAAAAGGGCGACCTGCAGCATACACCCCACCTCTCCCACGGCGTGACTCACCACCCACTTCATAGATGGGGGCACTGAGGCAGAAACAGGGTGTGGGAGGGAGGGAGCTCTGCACCTGGGGAAATGGGCAGACTCATCCCTGGGCTCAGGTGCTGAGCTAAGGAGCCCTGATTTGCTGAGGCAGGCGGGGGTGGACAGGCTGAACAGGCTGTGCTGGGCTGATGGGGGCGGGTGGGAGGAGAGACCCCAGCCTCCCACGGTGTGAAGCCGGAGGAGGCCAAGCCTGAAGGGGAGGCAGAGAATTGGGGAGGCCTGGCTCGATTCCAGGAGACGGAGCTGCTCTGTCCTCGCCCACAAACAGCAACGTCATCAATTATTTAAGAACGAGGCTCGCGTGTGAAGGGCTGCTAGTGTACGACCCAGGCAAGATGGGCAAAGAGGGAGCACTTGTGTGTGCGCGCGCGCACGTGCAGGCTGGCGGTGGGCGTCAGATGGAGTGTGTGTACGCACGCCAGTGGGGGAGCGTGTGTGCGTGCGTTGTGTGCATGCAGCAAGCAGAGCGGTGGGTGCTGGCTGGCGCTGGGCTGTGTGGATGGCGGTCTGCATCTAGACAAGCCGGCGGGGGCGTTGCTAGGACAGTGCAGCATCTCCTGGAGCAGCGTCTCCAGCTGAGAAGTGCTCTTAAGGCCCTTCACAGCTCACCAAAACTCGTTAAGTGGCCCCCCAGCTGAAATAATTGCTTGCCCCTGTCTTAACCACAGCCGTGTTAACCCCCTGCATGCTGGTACGTGGAGGCCCATTCTGCCCCAGGTACCCGGCCTCTGCTCCACTCCGTGCGCCGGTAGCTCGGGTGGGGTGGACTCTGGAGCACCCATTGCAGCCAGTCACAGATTGCTCTCCCGGGCACAATCTCTGACGGCCCCCCAGCTGAAATAATTGCTTGCCCCTGTCTTAACCACAGCCGTGTTAACCCCCTGCATGCTGGTACGTGGAGGCCCATTCTGCCCCAGGTACCCGGCCTCTGCTCCACTCCGTGCGCCGGTAGCTCGGGTGGGGTGGACTCTGGAGCACCCATTGCAGCCAGTCACAGATTGCTCTCCCGGGCACAATCTCTGACCACAGATTTGTTCTGCTGCAGCGGATGCTGGCGCAGCCTGCCTCTGCTGCCCACGCTCCGCCCCCTTCCCTGCTCCCCGCGCCCTCGGA